TACTCGAATCTTCACACTTTGATATTTTACTAAAACTTGATGTATTACGTGCAATTATTAATTCTCGTACATATAACAACGTAACAAAAACTTATCAACGCCCATTCTTGCGGTGGAAATTGATTCTTCGGTTCTAAATTTCTTGTAAACAATTTGTTCAGTTCACTAAGTAAACATGCAAGCGTGTACCATCGATGGTACACGTGGCACGGAACGTGTTAATCCCCTCGCGGAAGAGGTTTCTTCGACGTCTCGACCGCCGTGACACCCTTGTCACGGGTGACGGGTGCGTGGGTGACGGGCGAGGAAATTAAAAATATTGTGAATATTGAAAATGTAATCGATGTCGTACAACTGGACTTTTCAATTATAAAGTGACTAAATAAGATATTTTAGTTTCATGAAGTTTTTGAGATGGGTGGCATAGCGGTCGAAGGGATACGGTATTAACCCTTTCGAATGGCGAACATGCAGTTTCATTCGAAATGTACTGTATCGTTTTTCGAAATAATTGTTACGCTACTAAATACTGTTATATGTAAAACGTCGTTGAAAATGTGAACGGGATTTAAGCTGACAAGTATGTATAATGATATTATATAAACAGTTAAATAAATCATGTAAAATTGAAATACGAAGCCTCGGCCCTTTTAGTACCAACCAAAAAAATATATTTATCTAATCGAAACATGTTTAGCCTGGTTGATGTAATTTGGTAAGATTACAGAAAAGAAATACTATGAATATATCGTAAAAATACTGTGAAAATAATAGTTTCTCAAGTGTAACCATCAACGGTATCAAAGACCTATATTATGTATATGTTAAACATTTATATAATAAACAATGTATGTTAATTTTTGTGTGTGTCTGAAAGCAGTCATGTGAGAATGTTTTTATTCGAAAATGTTAATTATTGTCGAGGTTATATTCACCAAATAATCAAGGCAAACTAACATTTACTTGAGAGACGATTCTCACTGGTGTTCGTGAATATTTTTATAAATGGTGGATAAACTTTTCGCTACAATCGTTTGTATAACGGAAAGACTATGTTTTCAAGAAGTTATTCGAATTTCTTTATTCGAAAATATTAATTATTGTCGAAGATCTAGACACGATATTCGAACGATTGAGATTAGTATTTTACGTGTACGACGAACCCTACAAAACAAAGGTTCTCGAATTACTTTAAGCGCCGACTTTAAACGCATAATTTGAAGAAAACCATCCGCAATGTTGATTTTAAGTAATCGAAAACACTGATCTTTTTGTTGCAGTTTTTGATTTCGCGACGACCAGCGAGAATTGATGAAGTATGCACGAGCCCCGTTCAGTTTGACCCGTTCGAGTAAGTTTGTTTGGATTTCTAATTAATTTTGGTAGAATTAACGCACAGTCGCGTCGATCGAGATAATCGTTATCACGGTTCGGTCATATAATCGTGTAAATCTATCACACCGCGGTGAAGTTACTCGTGAAATATATCGCGAATAAAATCGCTAATGTAAATCCATTAATTTAATTCGAGCACAATCAAATTGAATGCGTGAATCAAGATAACCCTTTGTGCTACCAATCGAGATAACTCAACATCGGTATGCAATATAAAATCGTCAGAAAGATTGAAGGCTTCGGAGCAGTGATAACTCGTGTATACCGAAGCAAATAATTTCAATTATTTGCTACGCCTGGCTGAACAGTTTTTTTTTTCTTTTTGTAACGTAGGCAGAAGTGATTTAAGATGTAAAGCTGCAGGGATCCAGTCCCGAGCGTACAGTCAGTCGGATTAAAGAAGGAAATGGTTAATGAAGCAAAGAATCATACGTTAACTAGAAAAAAAATACGGCCTTTCACGGTTTCATTCGTTAGATGAATCGATAGCTTGCGATATGGAATGAAATAAGTCTTTATTATGTAACGTCGGAAGTCCGACTTATATTGAATATTTATCAGTACGCTATAGTACCGACTCGGATTTATACGCTGGCAATCGCAGGTTAACCCCGACACAAGGACTGGATTTTTCGACAGATTGGATTAATGGATCTGGTTCTAATTCCAATCGACGCGATATATGCACTCGCGAAAGACGTTAAGTGAATTTTGTGGATATTTTGTGTCGAATCTATCAAATACATCGATTCCAAATGTTGCAGACTTACGAATTTTTTAAAATGCACAGCAATTTCGTTAAGCAAGATTACTGATTTAAATCGAAATTGTAGCAGTTCTACGGGAGCCTCGAAGAAACTGTTCTCTCTAAATGGAAAATCCTGAATGTTCTCGATAGAAAGTACTTGTTTTTTCGAATCTATCAAATACATCGATTCCAAATGTTGCAGACTTACGAATTTTTTAAAGTGCATAGCAATTTCGTTAAGCAAGATTACTGATTTAATTCGAAATTGTAGCAGTTCTACGGGAGCCTCGAAGAAACTATTCTCTCTAAATGGAAAATCCTGAATGTTCTCGATAGAAAGTACTTGTTGTTAACGGTAAATTTACACCGAATGCAGAGTTTTATAAATAATATTTAACATAATGCAATGCGTAAAAATGTCGACAGAGAATCGATAACAGAACGGACGTCTCTGCATCAAGGATTATTAACGACAACTGAACAAAACATTTCGAGCCACTCAGTTTTCCTCGTATGATACATTCAACACACAAAAACATGAGCCTATTATTTCCTATCATATTAGAATGACAAGTCTGAGTCGGTGTAGACTGTTCACCATTTGCATCGTAATGCGTGCATAAATTAAGAAATTGATTTCACCGTTTCTTCTAAAAAAAACTCTTCATACTGTCAACAGTTAAAAAAGAAGATGTGCAATTGGTCATTTTTACCACCACGGTATATTCGGTATTAAAAATGGAAAACCTCGAATAAAAAGAATTAAAAATTGGTACCGTTCTGTTTGAAGCTCTCGAGTGCTCCATTGAGCCGCTTCAAGAAAACAGTCAGCGATAAGAAAGCGCGGAAAAATTCTCGTAAAAAAAAAAGGAAAAAAAACGAGAACTTCGAATTCGTCACGGTCGGCTCTTTCGAAGCGGGGGTGGTGTAACAGTATCGAGAAAGTGGCCTAGCTAGCTGCGGTTCAGAAAAGAAAAAAAAAAGTGAAGAAAAGAGAGTTTTAACGGCGGCGAATAGCAGAAAATAGAAAAGATTTATCAGGACAATCTGCATACGGATAGGCGAACGTGTCCGTCACGGTCGCATCCCGCATACCTATCGTATCAGACCGGAGTCTGGTTTTTTTGCCCGCCTTCGCAGATACATACAATGCTGCCGATTTCGTAAGTGTAGCGTGGCGATCGCGAAGTGTTTCAGCGCTTTTACGCGCGCGTGCTGTAGGAACTGGGTCGAGCATCCGTTTCCTTCCAGCGATTCCGCTTGTAAGCGCGGCAGGCGGCTGTTCTACCGTCGGTTTTCGTCTTACAGTGACGAGTTATAATTGCGCCGTTTGCGTGATGAATTTGCCAGAGGTGCAGCGATTTCTGTGTTCAACAAGCGCTGTTTATCATGGTCTGGTTTGCCGGAGAAAATGCTCGAAGTCGTAACAGCTTCGCCTCTATGCCGCAACTCCTGACGTAACATAGAAGTAGAGAGACATCAGAACTTCGGAGCTACCTTGTTTCCGAAAGCAAAGAATGATCGACTCCTTGTTGCGCGTGGGTTAATCTTGGGGATCCAAGAGGAAAATTCTGACGCTGTTCTGTTTAACTTGCGTGGGCCTTCTGGAGAGTCTGGACGCATTCTTCTCGCGGTTTTATTTGTTTTGCGCTTCTGCAAGAATATCGGTCGGAGCAGAGAAGGATGAATTAATGGGTGAAAAGAGGAACGTCGATCAAGATAGGTGGAAATATTATTGGAAAGTTGCAAGCATGCGGATAATGTGTTAATATTTATGAAAGAATATGTGAACAGCAAGATATAAAAATAACATTTGAACGAGCACTCGAATGCGTAATGAAAAGACAGATACGCATGATTCGGGTGAAAAATTATAATTGAACAAAGTAATTCGAGACTTTCTTAACGAATTGCACAAAACGGAAGTTCAATAAAAAATGTATTTCTTCTTTTAATAACTTCGGGAAATTATCCTTCTTCTATTCTAATTCTTCTTCTTCTATTTTAATATGTCTTAATTCTTCGATATTTCAGTCAATTTTAGCAGAAATGCATAAACTGCATAAAATCTGCAGTCTAAGAACAACCTAACAGTCGGCTATTGACGCAATTCACACGTCCGTATGAATTAATATTTCCGTAAAACGAATTTCACAGAATTTTTTAGCAATGTTCAAAGTGTATTAAGTCGTTCAACTTCTTCGATTTAGTTAGCTAAATTGATTGTTTAATAGACATTCTACATCGGGATTGCAGGAGATGATCGACTATTTACGAGCGTGATACTTTTTGGTATGGGCATTCCGTTAATCGATTATTGCCTGAAAAACCCGAGCGAGTTGTTTTGCTGGACTGAACGAGATTGCTTGTACCACATTTTATTGCAATAAACCATCGCGGATCTCGCCTACAAAGAGTTAATGTTTCTGTAATTGTTAGTTCGAGTACAAACCGTTGCGTCATTTTGCTCCGGTTGTCTGTTAGTTTGCGATTATAATTGCTGCCGCTATTGAACAATTCATTACGGGAGTCACGTTGACGCTTAGGAGATTATTAACTCTCCGCGGTGACTCGTCCTTTCGAGACCAACGCAAATAGTTTTAAGAGATTGCAATTAACATGTGTTACTGAAATACCTATGCGAGTCAGAAATCGCAACAGTGTAAGGCCTCGGAATCGCAGTAATCCGAGGGTTAAATAATAGTCGGTACGAATGATGATAAATTAAGTATAACGTTCGCTTTACATGCTTAACACATTGTCTCTCATGTTTGTCATTGTGCACAGCGACATCGAATACCGAATAATTTCGCAATTATCTCGTGCGATTATAATTGAAAATAACGTTTTATTTCATGTTACTTCGAAAGCGATCGCACGCATAATTATCAGATAAAAGAACATATTATTTGAAACAACATATCAGACAATGTCCTCTCAAATCTGATCCGAGTGCAACGAAAGAGAGAGGTCAGCGTGTCGCGTGAATTTTGCAACCGGGACAACGAACCAAGGAATCCCCATTTTTTATTGGTCCGGGAACAAGCGTCAGACTTTTTCGTTCGCTTTCCACGTTTCGTATTAGCGAACAGCGAACGTGTCATTGTGATAATAGTAAATTCTTGGGCAACGCATTCCAGGCACGGAAGGAGAGCCGGCGGCCGCTGCAGTAATGTTACAGGACACGCAATGACATCTCGGTTCTATTCGCGAACACGATTTCGAGACACTGTCTCCGAAGGACAGCTGGAACGTGGGTGTCGCGTATCGATATCGTAAAACGGGAAAGCCTATTATTGGCTGCTAATAACGAGTAGCTCCGGCGTGCCCCGTTGCCACGTTTTTATTCGTCGTCGGCGTATCGACGATTTTTCTTACGGCGCTCCCATTTGATCGACCGTTTTACGAGCACTCTGAATCAACCGAATTGCCCCTTTTAAAATTCAATAGTCCCGATCTTATCGCGAAACCGGCACCGTTTCCTCAGCCAATTATCGTCCGGGTTTGTCTTTCATCCGTGCGGTTGCCCCGTGCCGCCCCACGCGCGCGCTTCGACGCAACCCTCCCTCCCGCGCGAAATCGATCAAAACGGCCCTTGATCGAGCACTTTGGAAGTTTACGTCCACGAATGAAATATCCAGTCCGTTTATAAACGGCTCGACAGATCGTACGTCAAATAGCGGAGAAATTTTCCAAGGATCTAATCTTATCGAACGCGAGCCAGATACGAACGAAGTTGACCAGGATGTGAATCAAACCAAGGAATTATTCTAATCTTGCACCTGGTTATAGCGTGCGTACACACGTGTATCGAAATTGTTCGTACGTAATTATATAATTAATATCTTATAATTAATTAATAATATCTAGATAAATAATTATTAATATCTGGATCATTAATATCTTCATTCACGTTATATTTTTTACTTCCACTTGCACATGTTCTTTCGTAGGACAGTTCCAATACTGGAGTTGGAAGAAAATTTGCGAAAAACAACAGTTGGTTAATTCTTAAAAGTTGTAGAATGTTTATAGGTCAGACTGTTCGAATTTTTATAAAAGATGGTAACGGATGAGCCGCACAGTACAAGGAATAAAAATGGCAATGTTCGAAATGGATACGTTTTATAGATCAACAACGCAACGACGCACCTTATATTATTTATATATCGTAACTAGATCGCGGATTTTATGGAATTATTTGTAGA